AATTAGTTTTATAACAAGGTTTTAAATTATTTTTGTTCAATAAATTAATTATGAATAGCATCCAAAGTGTTTACTGAATAGAATTTAAAATTTGATATTTTCTATATTATAGTTCCTGTAATTAAGTTTTATTATTATTTTTTTTTAATTGGCTTTCAAGGACTAATTGAACATCATTTTATATAGTTTTTTTTTCTTTTCTTCCAGAGTAACTATATAGGTATACACAATATTTGCCTATTTATTTTCAAGCTTATTTATTATCAGCCAATTTTAACAAACCAATTTTTAAAATGTTGTCAACATAAAGACATCACATCTAATTACGACATTTCGGCTCGTTGAGCCATTTTCAAGTCTAAAATTTTTTTTTCAATTTACAATCATATTTAAAACATTACATATTTCAACATATAGAGATTCTTTTTATATACCTAAATACCCATCATCTACCTGTCCTTTTCACTTATGCGAATTGCATGGGTCCACTCATAATAATTTTGTTTATTTTTGTCATGTCCACCTTTAATTATTTTATAACATTATTATTACTCAATTATTTCTTACTAAATGATTCAATTAAGTTAAAATTACCTTAACATGTGTCACCGACATGCCATCAGTCTCATTTCTATTCAGTGACTGGTTATTTTTAAAGGAGTAGGGGACGACTATTTATTTTACAACATATACAATGATGTTTCCCAATATTATATGCGGACCTATTTTAAGTAAAATTAGCTAATTCATTTCAAATTTTTATTTTTTCAATTGAACTCGCCTAAAATGTATTCATATCATCCACGTCTGAATGATTATTTACCGAGTTTTTTAAATTTTTAGTTATGTATATTGCTTCCTTTATTCTACGTTTATTCGTATTACTTTTATTATGCGGGATTTTGGCGTTTTTGAAATAAAATTCATGTTTTGTTTGCATAGTATGATGAGAGAGTCCAGTGGCTAATTTAATTTTTGTGTTTTTTAAATTACAATTTCGTTTGTGCTGTTTAAGCCTTTTTTCAAACCATTGTGATGTCTGCCCAAAATATGATTTGTTGTTGCAATTTTTACAGTTTATTTTATAAATAATATTCGTTAATTTATCGGTGGGCATTTTATCTTCAGTTTTGGAATAAATTGTATCTATTTTATTAATTGGTTCGCTTGCAAATTTAATTTAATTTACATCATATTGTTTAAATGTTCTTTCTATTTTATATTTTATACCTTGATTAAATCCCTCCAAACCAAAATGAAATCCTGAATCCACTAGTGCCCTGAAAAAATTCTTTAAGCAAAAAGTTGAGTAATTCTCAGCACATTTACAATAGAACGTAAGGAAAAAAAAAGTTAAAAACATATTTTTTATTATTATTGTTTTTTGGTTTATTATTTTCAATAATGAAACATTGTGATCGACCAAAAAATTCAAAAACATAACCCTCTCTCAAAATTTGAGGTTTCACGTTTCAAGATGCGTAGAATTCGAAAAACGAATAAAATTTTTTTTGTCTGTCCGCCGTCAGCGCATTTTCTCAGAAACTACTAGACCGATTTTTTTCAAATTTGGATATAAAATCTGAGGTTACCCGAGAATGATCCTCCTCCGTGGGCATTACTATCCGCCTTCAACTTTCAAAATGGCGGCCGAAAAACCTGCGATGCTATAGACTGTAGCTCCTAAACGAATGTACAGACATCAATGAAACTTCGCTAAAGTCATTTTGTCGACGCCCTTTAAATTTATCTATATAACATACTTCAATGAAAAGAAGCTGGAAAAAAAGTTACGAGGGATGTTAAAATTAAATTCCGAATAACTCGAAAAGTTTTTACTTTTTGTGGTTATTGTATATGTTTTTTTAAAAGTTTACGAAATTTCCTAAATAACAAAAAAAAAAAAAAAAATAGTTAAAATCGGACAATTAGGAGCTAAGATATGGTCTCTGGTTTGTTTTTATGTGTTCTACTCCAAATGTTATATCCTTGGTTTGGTTTTTAAATTTTAAATGTGTTACTGAAATAACGCTATTTTTTTTTTTTTTAGCATATTACTAATGATTAAAGAAAAACAGTAAGGGGGAGACTTTGGAGCTCAAGCGCTTTCCCAAAATGGTAAAATATAACCATTTTTTATTGAATAAAATCATAAAAAATTATCTCTAAAAGTATTATTGTTCGTGTAATTACATTTAACACTATTTCGCATAGTTAGTTTCTTTCTTTTTCTTCCAAAGTAATTATCGTTATATTTGAAAAAAGAAAAAAAAAGTTTTCGGGTTGAAGCCCTCCAAAATGAAATTCTGGATCACGGGCGGACCTACGAGGGGGAGGGGGAGGAAGGAAGGGAGACTTTCGGGCTGAAGCACCCCCCCCCCAAAAAAAAAATGGTGAAATAAAACCATGTTTTATGAAAAAAATATCTCTAAAAGTATTATTGTTCGTCTAATTACAGTTAATCGGACTTAAAGACCATTTTATATAGTAGTTAGTTTCTTTCTTTCTACCGACGTAATTATCCTAATATATTTATACAATAAAAATATTTCAGGCTGAAGCCCCCCCCCCCCAAAATTAAATCCTGGATATCCTAGTGCCACTCTCCCACAGAAAAACAAAAAATAACCAACTTTATCTTTATACCATACTAACTTAAATAATTATTTTGAAGTGAAAGCATGGCAAAATCAACCTAGGTTAATGCGTTCGCCATAATGTTTTACAATAACACCACAACGTTCAAATGCATCGAAATGCGCTTTCAGTCGCATAGGCGTTATTTTATATATTTTTAATACTTAAAATTTATGAAAACTTTACAGTAATTAAGAAAAACTAACTAAAAATCCACTATTCATTGCCTTCGGTAACGTTTGAATATAAAATAAAAAAACGTTACTATTTTTAAAATTTTTGTTTCATAATTTTGAGTTCTGCCAATGGGTAGTTTCTCTTCATATTTTACATGTCATGTTACCGATGTCACATTTACCTGTTGCATTTTTAATGTAATACAGTTGTATTTAACAATAAAATTATAAATAAATAATTGTTTCATAATATCGTTTGTTTAATAACTCCAGAATGATAGATATTTCCCTCTATCATTAAGTTCAATCAAAAATATTTTCACATACCTTCGTTTTAATATGATCCATTTTCGCACGTTAATCGATCAGCGGGCGGACAGAAACTGGATAATCATATATTTGTTATTAATGAATTTCTTTTTCCGGATTTTTTTTTTTCTATCGCCCCTCCTTCCCCCCTCCACTTCTGTCGATTCTGTTTAACGTCATATAAAAGGATATATTCGCTGATATTGGTTTGTTATATTATGTAGTGCCTTCCAACTCCTTAATCAGCATTATTGTACATAAAGATATAATATCAAATCAGATATTATAAATAGGAAAAATAAACATAATATTCTCTTTTGATGTCTAGAATAATAGATAAAACATTTGAAATCTTTGATAAGGTCATTTAAGACGCTTTAGTTCGATTTTTCTGTTTGTAGTGCAGTTTTTATCAGACTTTTTTTTTAAAATTAAATATATGGGTATTATACATATATTATTATTATTTAATGAATCTGCGACACTTTTGTAAAATTTATCCAATGGTTTATATTATATTTCGATTGAGTGCACCATAGCAGGGGATGGGAGCCATTTTGTATCAAGCTTGTTAATCATTATATAAATAGAAAATGACAGAACAGTTCAGTATCTTTTTCTCCACGCTTTCTCAACCGATTTTCTTTTTTCTTTATTGTTCAGTAGCTATTGACAAGCTTTAGTGTTATCAATCCACAAAAAAAAAAAATAATTCGGAACAGTTAACAGATAACAGATAAATATAAATGTAAATGTTAGTTTCTTCAAATCCACAAATCTCCAAAAGTATATATATTCCATTATCGTTTCGAAATGCCGAATCTCATTTAGAAACGTGTGTTGATTTTGACTGTAGCGTCAAAACGATTTTAATGAAACTTGGGCTAAAGTCTTTTTGATTTAAGAGCCATCCATGAAAAGTACGATGGGTTCAGAATTTTATTTGCGAATAACTCAAAAAGTACACAAATGGTACAGAATTTTTTTTTTTTTGTATTGTTAGTACACATTTAAGTGTATTTATGAATGTGTAAGAACAGAAATAAAAATTTCGGAAACGTGCAAGTTCATATAAATTTAACCTAAAATTTCCATTAATGATCTAGGCCGAATTACGACCTCTGGGCGAACACAAGTCAAACTAAAAAAGTATTACATTTCAACAGATCATATGAGAAATATTATCTGTTCTATGGAAAAAATTGTAATAAATTGATCATCTAACTGTTTCATGTTTCGAACTGCTTAAAATCGATTGTCGTAGGCATTGACAACTATCGATGAAGTTATTGATGCAGTTACATCTATTAGTTTCATTGATGGGGTAAATTTTTCATTATTTAATGAATGATAATTTGTTTGCAGAAATTGACGAATAAATTCTAGTTGGTATATTTTAAACGAACGTATTTTTTGAATACTCGATGATTGACCATACTATAATATAAAGATATTATTGCGGATGATGGTCATAAATAAACTTAATGTAATGCAAGCTATTTTATTTAAGCATACGTTTCGATCCGACAATGCTAGTATTCATCAAGGCAAGGAAAAAGGAGTCTATTGAAAATTGTAGGAGTTATAAGATATTTTGAGAAAAAATAACGAAAATTATAAACAGAATAAATAAAAAGTACATACAATTATTGAGAACATTAAAATATAAACAGAGTAAATGAAGTACTAAGAACATTAAAATAAAAAACCAAGTAACCAGGAACTAAAATAAAGTAAATAAAATTGCTAACGATAAATGTAGATAAGAAATAAAAAAATTGAATACAATAAAAAGGGTGGACGATACACATAATCATGAATATTAAAATGTTGAAAAAAGATTAAAAAGAAAGTGAATGAATTCAAAAGTATTGAGGAATGAATAAACAAGTGAATGGAAAGGTAAACAAATATAATTAAAATAAATAAGTAGTGAAGGGAGTGAAAAGAGAGATAACAATAATGTATAGTTGGGATGGAGTTGCGAAACTGACATATTATTAGAATAGATAGAGGGCAGCAAAAGTTTTCTTACATATTCATATTATTTAATAATTTATGTATTTATTTCAATCTAAACTTTTAAATTAATTTCTTTGAGGAAGTCCATTATACTTTAGTACCATTTAAAGACATTTGTGTTCAACTTTGAAGGCAATTTGGGAAGACTTTTCCCCCATTTAGCTTCAAGATATTTTACTTATGTTATATTTTTATTTATGAACTGTAGATCAACAGGAACCCACAAAAGTTCGATAGGGTTTCAATCCTGACCTTGGATAGGAATTTCATGTTCATTTGGATAATTATATAGCAGCCATTCTCCTGTGTTGTGAGCTTTGTGTTGCGAAATTATAAAAAAAGTGTAATATTTTTATGGTGCATTTATTTCGAATTTTTATGCATAATTAACTTTTCTAAATAAATCGACGAAACTGCATAGTAAAAACATTTAGAATAAAATATAATAGAGAACAAACTTCAGTCTATGTCAATTAAGAAGGTAATTGTGTTCGATTTACGCATTCAATTCTCCTCTTGGGCAAAAAGTATTTGTATTATTACTTATAACATAATATAATAAAATACCAAGTATTTTGTGTTTTTAAAATAAATTTTAATTACCATGTTATCCATCATATTATTTGCATTTTTAGCCATATTTAGTTTCTTTTTTATCTTTTGTTATATTTTCTTTATCTAATATTTTGTGTATTTTTATTAAATAAAGTTTGATTTGTAATATAATCTTGTTGTGGGCCAATGCTATAGAGGTTGTATTTTTTATAATTTTACATACACACACATATCTCTATCTTCAATCATTTTTATATTTGGATTATGTAATAAGAAAAAATGTAATGTATAAAGATTGAAACTTCAAAATTATGACAAGATATACATAGATGAAACTTCAAAAAGGCTATTCTTATTTTTAGTAAGACTTTTCTGTTATTTGTTCTGATTATGTAGTTTAAACTTTTTTTTTTTTTTTTTAATGAACATAGAATGCAAATATTTTCTTATATCTTCGTATATTAGCTTAGGAATATAGTATATTTAAAAAAAAATGTTTTATTGTTTGTTCTGAATATAGTCTAATATTCATTTTTAAGATCCTTTGACTACTATAAGTATTTAATGTATTGTGTAGGTGAGGAGCTTTTTCAGGCAGGTTGTTGAAAAGAATAGGTGCAGAAAAGGATGGTGGCCAAATCAAAGAAATAAGGAACGTTTGCACAACTCAGTATGTATAACATGGACCTCTGGAATAACACTGTAGCATAAACTACTGGCCAAAGTATCACATCACTTGGAATTATCATAAGCCAAGAATATAATCATAATAAAAAAAAAAGGAACACAGGAATTGAAATTATAAAATAGTAAATAAAAAAACAGTTGGCTATTTAATTGTCATAATAATACTTTCAATTTGTTCAAAAATTACAATTTTAATGAGCTATTGAATGCAAAATTGGTGTAAGTAAAAAAGTAAGGCTTTTGAGATATTCAAAACTTTAGAGGAAGTTTTAGAAAAACAGGTATAGAGTACTTATAGGTATTTCTTCTTAAACAGCTTACGTTCTTTGTTAAAATAGTATTATGTATATCCAACTGTTTAAAATCATGAAGTTAATTCAATCAATAACTAATTAATTATTTTCTAGTCATATTAATTACCTTTTGTGAAATAATATTTTGTATTGTTTAAATAAATTTTATCCCAATAGTCTCCAACAAATATTTTTATTCATAATAGTGTTATGATGGTTGACTGTAGTGAATTATTGAAGAGAAGATTGTTGGGGTGTTCAGTAAAAAATAAATAAATTATATTTATTTTTGACTAATCATCCCAATCAACCAATCTTTAATTATTTTTACTAATATTAATTTTTCCTCTGATGTATCAGATATTCAGAGTAATTTTCAAGACTATCTGAGAAAAGAAAACAATGATTTTAGCTTAGAACAATTTTTATTTCAAAAGATATAGATTCAATGAAGATGTAAAATACACTTGAAAAAGGCTCTTGATAGCTTAAATATCGGGGAAAATAAAGGAATATAAATGAAAAGAATTATTTAAGGAATAGTAAGTCGGGAGTTGCAGTCAACAATCACTCACTATGTTGGTGTAATAATTATTTTTAGCTTGGGTTTTCATTTGTGTCGTAGATCTTCTTCAGGACGTTTCTTCTAACAATGCCGAAATACTCAAGGACACTGAATTCAGTTGTTGAGGCATTGGAAAAAATAAATTTCTAAGAAATTATTGAGGTATGTTGTCTAACTTTTCTCTTAGGGCTATCTTCAGTTCTCGGACAACCGCCAGGATAATATAATGGTTTCTCAAATCTCCCTATCATGTCTGAGGCATATTTTATTGTTAATTTTTGATTGAAAATAAAGTACTCCGATTCCATCTTCATTAAGGAACTGAGACATTATCTGATTTATGTGAGGCCTTGCATTATCATAGAGAAATTCAAGTCATTCTGTAATAATTAGTGCAAATATTATCACATATTATAGAAGGATGTTGTTAAGATAACTGATGACATTTATGTTGTCTCTATCAGAAGTGTTTAACTCTGTGTAATCCTTAGTAGAATTAGTATCCTACACCGTCAATGAGCCTTTTGTGGTTGATCAGAAGGGTCTTTCATCTTGCCCAAGAGGGGAATTGAATGCGTAAAACGAACACAATTACCTTCTTAATAGACTGAAGTTTGTTGTTTATTCTATTATATTCTAAATGTTTTACTATGTAGTTTCGTAGACTTACTCAGAAAAGTTAATTATGCATAAAAATACAAAATAAATGAACCATAAAAATATTACACTTTTTTCTAATTTCGAAACACAAAGCTCACAACACAACTGAAATATTTGCTATGTAATTATCCAAATAAACATGAAATGCCTATCCAGAGTCCAGATTGAAATCCTATCGAACTTTTATGGGTTCATGTTGATCTACAGTTCATAAGTAAAATATCTTGAAGCTAAATTATTGGTAAAATGGAGGAAAAGTTTTTCCAATTGACTTCAAAGTTGACCACAAATGTCTTTAAATGGTACTAAAGTACAAAGGACTTCCTCAAAGACATTAATTTAAGTACTCTTTTCTCTTTTATCATGTGAGTTTAAAGCGAATATTGACTCATCTGTAAATAATATTAGTGACCAGTCTTTATTTGTTCAATTAATGTGTTTTTAGACAAACTGAAATTGGAAATGTGTGTGCCCTAACGAGGAGCGTAGGATTAGCTGATCTTTTAGCATTAATAACTTCATTCAACCTTATTTTACATTCTTTGGGAAATGTCCACACACCTCCTGCTCCTTTAATGGAATTTCTTTCTTCATTGTGATGCTTTCTTATAAAATGTAGTTGAATAAATCTATTGTCATATTTTATTATAGAGCGTGGTCGAACTGACGTGTGTCTCCTAGTATAATTTCCTGCCTCTATATAATGTTTTACTGTCGTGGAAACTTGGCTGGTTTATCCTAAAATATCTGGTCATGTTGCATCGGATAATTTCTTCTTCATGTTACATAATTAGACGGGTCATGATTTTATTTAATAAATCTTGCATAAAATATTTAGTTATTCATTTTAAAATAATAAAAACCACTTTTAATTAGTGAAATGATTAAATGAAAAAAAAATGAAACACCCAGAGAATAATGTGATTGAGGAAATTAGTTTTTCTAGAACTGAAATAAAAAAGACATTAACTGTTGTTCATATTAATAAACAGTTCATCATTTCTAACTTGACTTTAAATAAATAAAAGTATATCTGAATGGAATCATGGCATTATTTTAGACATAAAAATACAAATGATGTGATACTTTTGTCCAAGAGTTTATTTTTAGAAGTATAATTTTTCATTATTCAGCCTTGTTAATTTTATTTGAAAATCAAGCATTTTAAAGGTTCATGTAATATAAGAAAGGTGTTTGAATAAATTTGTTTAATTGCTTTTTCTTTTTAGTTATACAGGATGGTCTTGGTAATCCGAATCCATTGTAATCCAAAACCCCTGGTGATCCGAACAAGAAAGATGAAAAGTTGAGTTGACTAACGAGAGATGGCATGGAAATGGCTCTGTTTCTCAGTACATATTACGGGAATTGCTTCATGTGATATGTCAAAATTGTATTGTGGTGTCTTTAAGCAGAAAAAATTAAAACTGGAAAGTTATCCAGATGTTGACGGATCTCTTTATATGTGGTTTCTGCAGCAGAGATCATGAAGGTGTCCAATTTCCAAGGAAATATTAACTGAAAAGTCAAAGTTTTTCTTAAATATTTTTTTAAGAAGGGTAACAAAGCAAATTTTAATGTTACTAAAGTGGGCTTGATAATTTCAAAAGCAAATATGGAATATTATATTATTTGTTATTTCTCTGAAAAAACTATTTACACCCATTTTATTTTTGAAATATGAAATAGAAATAGAAAGAGAAAATAACTTTATTCTGGGACAAAGTCCCTTTAGAATAACAAAATAGTACAGAGTTAAAAGACTACATCTGACCTAAATAAAACAATAACAAAAAAGAAAAAGTAAAGAAAATATTAGTTAAACAAGCTATATACAAAAAAAAATCTATATACAAAACACTTAGAACTGTGACAAGAAACTTAAAACTATGTACAATAGGAAAAATTATAATTATACACTTTTGAGAACTAAAATAATAAAAAATAAATTGAGTTTTTCTTTAAAATAAGCTGTGTTTTTGCTAACAAAAGAAAGACAAATCTGACAATATAAAATTTCAGAGTATTTAAATAATGAATAATATATAAACACATTATTATCTTATTGTAACTATAGGTACAGATTTATTTGTATAAGAGTAAAAAATAATAAAAAAACAAACAAACAATAGATGCATTCAGTGGCATTAAGAGTAGGAAGATACTGTAATATCTCTGGTGAAGTTTACAGTATGGAATAGTACTATCATTTGATGATGAATGATATACTATAAATACATAATATTTTAAGCTTAGCAAGCATCTGACTGTTTTGGGGACAGGAATTGGAATAGGAGGGTTTTGAATGTGGATATGGATGGACAATGCAGAATTTTGATAGGTAGGGAATTCCAGAAATTGACAGCGCGAGCAATAAAGGAGTTTTGAAATGAGGCGGATCTGTGAGAAGAGGTGTAAAGGTTTTTCATTATAGATTAGTCATAGAAATTCTGTTAAGGTATTTAATGCTTGGTTAGTAGGCAAATGGCACAAACTCGACTATCGTAGGCTGGACTTTTGAGGAATTTGCTAGATCAGGCATTCTCTTTAGCTACAAAATCAGAGACTCAACATACATTATATGATAATTTTCGGAAATGTTTTTTTGTTTGCAATATGTTTATATTTAACTGTTAATACATATATTTTCGATACCTGATATTTTTCTATCATTCTAAATTTAATCTTTGGTAATTCAAACAGGCTATGTAATCTATTTGTTCGCATTATCAAGATATCCTATATAGAAAAAAAGGTTTTAAAAATCTGTAAATTTTCTTGACATATCTTTATACAATAATATAGAATAATTTCTAAACAAATACTTGAGAATTAATTTTTTTTTTAATTATAAGAGTACCTGGGGAATTCGGAAGCCATAGTAACTGAAATTTGAGAAAATATTTCTATTGTTGAATTAATCAACATTATTATTTTAAACATTGATTTACTTTTCATGATTGTGGAAAAGTCATTTCAAAACTTTTTTTTTTGTATTTTTCAGAAAAAAAAAAATACTACACTTGCAGGGTTCTCAATATTTTTAATAGAAAGAGGATTATGAAATATATAAAAATGGTGTATCATATCTCCAAGATTCCAGTTCATGAGATGCTCGAAGAATAAATAGCAATTGTTGCATCTATAGAAGTATAGCTACGAATCATCCACTTGGCCATGGGAAGCGTTTGAACCAATTTCAATTTAACGCCCTATATAACCATAAATGCATGCAATATAAGAAAAACATCTGAATAAATTTGTTTTTCTTAAGTTAAGCTCTATAAAAAAGTTTAAAACTCTGTAATATTTGTTTGGTATATATTTATGGTCCAAAATTAAAATATGTTTGTCCTTAGTATGAGAAGGTATCTGTGTATACTTATAATTATATAGTATATATCATTTTCGTGTAGATGTGTAGATCACCTTATATCTCGTTATATTCTCTTTGTATTTATTATACCAGAATAGTAAAAGAATTTAAAGAATTGCCTTGCCTATTTTCTCATATTTTGTGTGTGTATTTGCTTATTTGGTTACAATATAAGTTATGCTCATTTTGATTTCACTGTACATTAAGCTTTGAAGTAATGCATTGCCTACATAAATTCAAACATATTTAAAATGAGAAATCTCAAGATTTTGAGGATACAAGCTGGAAATGACTTAATTTCCTATTTGTAGGGCTACTGCTTTAGAATTGTTCTGATCACTGAATACATCAATTGTAAGTGTAATACATTAGTTGAGCTGTGAGTTTAGATAAAGCATATGGAATCTTGCTGTTTGGTTGTATTCAGTACTTTTTTCTTCAAATTAGCTTTAGTTTTTAGCCTCCATTAAATGTTACAGACAACTGAAGGATTTATAAATATTTGCTAATTTATTAAAAAATGAAAAGTGAATCAATATGGACAGGCCAGATTTAATAAGTGTTAACATATTTTTTTTTTAAAGCCTTGTATACCCTTCCTTAAAAATTTATTTAATGCTTCATACAATTTAAAAGAAAATAAACATATCTTATTTTACATATTTGAACATTTCTGGAAGATATCTACATGACGTCGATATTTTTCAACTAAGAAAATTCACACTAAAAAAAAAAAAAAATATATATATATATATATATATAAAGGATATAGAACAAATATAAGGAAAGTATTTAAACATAAAATCAAAATCTAAAGTGGATTTTCGTGTAAGATAGCGCCCCATGTGGCTGAGCCGGAAATCCTATCTAATTAGATTTACAGAAAAAGTCGAAAATTGTTTTTCTTAGCAATTCATTTTTATTATTCAGGATTTGTCACATTATAAGTTGAGTTGGTTCATAGTGAACTTATTTTGTTTTATCTGTAAGATGGCATAAGTTAAATCAACAGCTAAGTTGACTATAATACATATATTAAGTTAATGTAAATTTAAGTATTACTATGTAAGTATAGGTAGTTAAAAATGCTTTCTATGTGGAATCATGAGGATAAATGAGTAGCTGCCTTAATATAAAAAGTAAGAATCTAGAAAATCACAGAATGATTGGTTACGGGTATTTTACACCTTGGTTATGGTGTAAAATTCAAGAAGCTACAAGACTACTTATCAGTCTTGTCTCTAGAAACAAGAATCTAATCTCATTTTAATGTCAGTTTTTAAAAAGGTAGCTTATAAACATTTTGTTTCCCTTTGGGGATTTGTATAGAACAGAAGATTATTTATAGGAAAAATGTCCTATAGTTTAAGTTGAAGCTGAGAATTTTGCTAGGGCCGGAGAGTTAATAATAATTTTGTTACCCCATCTTTTATCCCCATATAAAAATATTTTAGGTAGGTTAAATATTTTGAAATAAATGTCATCTCATAATATTAACTCAATCCATTGACAGAAGTAAGATCAAAACAATTAAAATGAAAAAAAAAACACTTGTTTATTTATCCTAAAAATAAAATTTTTCTCGAAATTTTCAAATCTCTCCTTCGCCCTGTATAGTTCCAGCATTGTTTCTTGTAAATAATGGTTTTTCATTTGATTGGGTTTAACAAAATGTAATGTAATCAGTGATATCATATAATTTGACTTGAAATAGCGATGAATTCTAAAAACCCCAAGAGAACTTTTCATGCAATTCTTTATCAGTGCTTGACGATCTTCAGAGGCACTCTCCACTTGTTAGAAATACAAAAGTATTAAAATAATTAATTTTAGCCTTTCAATAAAGCAACTGTATTAAAGAAATTTTGAATGAAATAAAATAAAATATTACATAATCTAAAACAGCTTTAAAATTAATTTAATTTTTTAGGGGGAGAGATGAAATCATTGCATGGATACACCGAATGTCTACACTGTAGTGTAGGTCATAATTTTCAAAATAATAACAAAAATATATATGTTCTATTTCTTCCAATTATTCAGAAATATATTTGGATATGCCCAGATATATATATGTAATTACCTGATCCCAGCAGACCTACCAAGAAGAGATGCAGTAGCCTGCTTCCACGTGGCCACTGGTCACGACTATCTACAAAGTCATCTGCACAAGATAGGTGTGGCTGAGGATCTGAGATGTAAATTATGTGAGCAAGCGGAAATGGATGCAGACCACCTAAACGAATGTCCTGCTTTGACGGATATAAAGAATCAAACATATGTAAATGATTACATACAAAAATCAAAATTATATTGGGCAGCAAGATGTCGGATGGTCGAATGACCAATGACTATGGCATAGGAAAAAAAAAAAAAAAAAAAAAAAAAAAAAATATATGTAATTAAAAATTACTTCCATTATAATGTCTTATTATTATTAAAACATTCACAAACTGAGGTTTCAGAGATCTCCTTAACCATAAGGGTTTCTATCTTTAATAATTATTGCAAGGCCTATTTGGACTTACGGGATCAAGCTTTGGGGCTCTACTAAACCATCAAATTCCTCTCATATCCAATCCCTACAATCCAAAATCCTTCGTAAAATCCTTAATGCTCCCTACTTTGTCACAAATAAAATCATCCATAATGACCTTAATGTACCATATGTTTCCGATTTAGCTCAATCCAAATACATGTCCTTTCTTAATAAACTTCTGAACCATCCGAACCCTCTTGTTTCCAACCTTCCTTCCTCTTCTATTCCTGATAACCCTGGAAAGAAGATGGCCTCGGGACCTTCTAATATAGAAATATAATTGGAGTGCTACCAATGGGTAGTTTCTCTTCATGTTGTACATGTCATATTACCTGTTCGTATTTATTTGTTGTATTTATTATTAATTAAAGTTGTAAATTTCGTTAATAAAAATA